GTGTGTGCATGCATTCTCACTTTGATTCCGGTCTCTGTCGCGGCGGCGTCCCTCAGTAACCAAGAAAGAAACCGCTCGACTCCATTTTGCAGAATTAAGAGTACTTTTAGAGTTTTATTTCATTTGTATGCCGCCCTTTTCCCTAAAGGGACTCAGGGCGGCTCACAACTCAAACAAGGGAAGGGGGGTTGGGTCACACATTGATATCTATGATTACGCGTGCTTTTGCCTCAGATCTTGCTTTGCTTAGCTGCTATCTACTCATGACCATCGAATGGTATGATTGTTGCGTTTTAATTATGTATTGTTTTGTGTTGTTGTCAATGGTCTGTATCCCCCTTCCCTTGTTTGAGTTGTGAGCCGCCCTGAGTCCCTTTAGGGAAAAGGGCGGCATACAAATGAAATAAAACTCTAAAAGTACTCTTAATTCTGCAAAATGGAGTCGAGCGGTTTCTTTCTTGGTTACTGAGGGAGGCCGCCGTGACAGCGACCGGAATTAAAATGAGAATGCATGCCCAAACACGTTCTTCCAATTTTGTTGTTTTTCTGTATCCTTACATTTGCTCATTTCCCACCCACTCACACACACACACCCCACCCCAGTTCACTGGACTCTACACAAAAGGGGCAAATAAACTAAACACTATTCAACAAATGTTAAGCCCGTGGCTCAAAACAACGACATTGGTATTCACTGTTTACCAGTGTTTATTTTACAACTACAAGACAAATGATTAAAAATTAGAAGCGTATTGAACATAAATAAATGACAGCAGATTATTGTACTTAATTTCTAAACAGTGGATAATTCTTATTTGATTAAAATCAGTAGCAATATCTCTACTGATTTATATTTATGGCTTGCATGAGAAAATTCATCATGATTGCTGCTAGGATTTGTTTTCCTTAAGTATTATCATTTTGCTGCTGAGGTTTCTACAGAGGTAAACGAGGAGTTTTGAAGGAGCTATATATTATTATCTTAGTTTGGGGATTTTTAAAAATACTTTCCTGCTGCTATTGGTTCACTTCTTATTTAGAAGCTTGTGGATATCATATAGCCCTAACTTATTTTCAATCCAACATTCGCTTTTAAATAATTCATTGGCGTACAAATAGCAAAAATATAGGAAAATAGTTGCAATATCTTTTTGTTTTTTACAAATACATGTGATCATGCCTGTAATGTGTGTTCATTGTCTTTTGAGGGCTGATCTTGATACTAATGAAATGTTAGCATATTTTTAAGACTGGGCTTTTATTTTAATTCTTTCTGACCAGTTAAACATCTCTGAACATTAACAAGGAAGGAAGGAAGTTGGCCATTAGAGTTCTTTTTTAAAATGAATACATTCATCCTGAGGATGGAAAAACTCATGTAAAACTTTGGGGTGCACATTAATATACTGAATGCATTAGCCAAGCTCCAGCGAAGTGGCTAATCTATTTGACAATTAATGACGAATTCGCTAGCCTAAAAAAAATTACTTCCTAAACTAACTATGGAACATTTTACTCATGTCAAACAATTATTTCTAAGACTTTGGTTTACGAATATTTTTGAATGTTCACAATTCAAATGTTTGCGAAGATTTTCTTGTATTGCTTTTTCCTTGTATTGCATACTGCATTGCAATATTGCGTAGTGAAACAGCTTTTTTCCTCTAAAATATTGATTGCTATTTTGTGATGATCCCTATTTTAAATGTGACAAGAGTAGATGTGCAAGAAACAGAAAATGTGAAGCTATCGAGATACGTTTCATTTATTTGAATTGGCATTTGGTCTTTTACCATAAAAATGACTCTGGAATTAAGTAAGAACTGAATTAATCAAAAGTACATTATAATAGGTGTAGGTATTAAATTATTTTTGCATAATAAATCCACTATCAGAACAATCACCAAATGTATCACTAAAATAACACAGAATAATGTTAAAAGTTTACGACCCAATGGGGCCGCATTACAGGGGTTAGACATACCAAAATAGAAGAAATTGGACTTTCTTCATTTTTCATTTTCTTTCCATTCTTCAACAAACATACATACATACATACATACATACATACATACATACATACATACATACATACATACATACTTACATACATGAATGTTCACTGTAACAAAGTTTGATTATGTATTATTTTAAAACCTTGTGATACTTCATGCTTCTCTCTGAATGCACAATGACTTTGCTCAGCCAAAATTTACTCCTGTCTCCCATTCAAGTATCTTTATTGTGAGGCTGAAAGACATATGGTTGAGGATGGGAATCTTTGATGTCGCAAGAAGTGTTTTCTAGGTCAAAATATATATGGGAACCTCTGAATTTAAGACGGGGAAGTAAAGAGGATTTCTGCTTTATGTAAACATATGCACACAATTTGTTCATTCTGGTTGTAATTCATGAATAGCCGGGCTCTTCATCTGCTTTTCTATTTTAAAAAAGACAGGATGTTAAATAGGCAAAAGGATTGTAAGAGGCAAAAGGATTTGTCTAAAATAATAGATCATGTCTGTTTACTACACAACCATTTACGTTTTATAAATCCCAAGATGTGGTTTGTTAAGGTCATTGTATGCTACAAGGAACATATCTGAAAGACTGTTAAAAATAACCAAAATATTGTGTTGAAAAAGCAATAAATAACAATTAGAAGAATACAGATGTCTGGGTTTTAGTCTGATGTTCAAACCATGTCTGAATAAACTTTTCTATAAACTCTGAAACAGATACAGGTTGATTCCAAATCAGTGGATATTTTTGTTAAAAGTTTTGTTGCAAACGGTTCTTCATGGGTTGGCACCACTGAAATACCTAACTGAGATCCATACAGAGAGAAAAAGTCAAATATGCTTGTCGTTATACACTGCTATTGGTATCTGCTAACTAAAATAATTACATCTCAATAAATGGGATTTAGGATTTTTTTTTACAACTGAAGTGGAGCACCCAAAATAACTGGATCTTAGTAAAAATTGCTGTGCACCCATCTAGTCTGTTGCTTGTTTGTTTATGGGAGAACACATGTTCACGGAGAAAATTAACACAAACCTTGACTATGAATCCGAGAACCACATGTCCCTCTCCTTGTGTTAGTAAAGTCATTGTATGTGTTAAATGTTTCATTTCTTCACAGGTGGGAAGGAAAGGATAAGAATGAAGTGGGCCGATGCAAAGAAACAGGCAAGATTCATGTGACAGTTAATCATAAATACTACAGGCCTACGGAAGTAGTAAGTGAAAGCATTCTTTCGGTTTTGTTAACGAATGGTCCAATCACTCAGTCACCAAACTGCAGCATTTGGCCAGCTGGTTACAAGAGGTTTGCAATTGCTTCCCTGCTGCTAACTTTCAGTCTTTTCTCCATAGTTACTTGGCCACTTCAGTTGTCCTCCATAAGCAACCCATGATGGGGGACCATAAATGAGAGTGTGATTATTTGATGTTCTGCTTAGCCTAATTTTTGATATGATTACACATGATGCCACGGACAGATAATGCTCTGCAGACTGCTTGATAAAGAGATAATAACAGAGGCAATATACTTAACGTATTTATCATTTCCACTTTTACTTGTTCTATTGGTAAAGAAATTAAGTTCCAGCATGTGGATGTGCCTGGGGATATAGATGCAGAACATATATTAATTATGGTTTAGGTTAGGTTTATTGGTTTTGTATGCCGCCCACTCCCGAAGGACTCCGGGCGGCTCACAATAAATAGGGGAGGGAATAAATAAGACAATACAAACAATTTTAAAATCCACAACAGTCACAATTAAGACGGGGCTGGGTGCTTATCTAAAAGGTTTAAAATAAATACTTAAAAAACAGGCACATAGTCCTGGAATAGAAGNGTGGGTGAAATGAGGACCCAGACTGTGGGGGCGATATGCTGACTCTGTAAACCGCTTAGAGAGGGCTGAAAGCCCTATGAAGCGGTATATAAGTCTAACTGCTATTGCTATTGCTATCTGGTCTTTATTCTATTGTGTCGTTGGCTCCACTAAAAATGGAGTTATCTTCGATTAACAATTTCTTCCCCAGAAGTACTTTTGAAAGAGTTCAAACTGTGTTTCTTAGATCCATTGTTGAACTTATACATTGTGTTCCAGACACAATCCTATATCAATAAGATGTTGTGGGGTTGTTGTTGTTGTTTTGTTAGTTTCTAGAATAAGAACATTAACAAAAGTAAATCATTCTTCAAATCATTCTTGAACAGTATTGCCTTACATAATTTGTTCCTACACCGCATGGGGATGGCTTTTAGATGGCTTTTGAAGAAGATTAGAGGAACTCGTGGAAGACGAATCTGTCAACAGCTGTTAGCTAAAATAACTAACTGGAATAGTTAAGACTCAACGGAGTGCCTTTATAAATGCCATCTCCTGAAAGAACAATTGATGGGATAGAATTATTGCTTTTCATTTTTTTTGAAGCTGCTTATAGAACCATCTGGATAAAGCATTGTTAGAAACAGGATCCTTCCAGAAGGGCTGCACTTATATTTTCAGTTTAGTGCTAAAATTAAATGCAATTAAAAATAAATGCAAAGCTGGGTTTAAGACATAGCCTAATGCATTTGGGGGGGGAGTGGACAGCAACTCTTAAAATTATGTATAGTACTGGGGGAAAAGCACTGTCTTAAAAATATGAAGTGTGAGTCTCTTTGATTTTTAATTTTTCCCCTGTTGTGGACTTGGCAGTATTTTCTCTGAGCTATTCTCAGGATAGATTGTATATTCCAAAATTGTACAGCTGCATCAATATGTAGGTGTATAGTTTAAAAATAACCATTGTCTGTATCTTTATGCAACACAAGGCAGATAGTTTTTTTCACCAAGGTTTTCTAATGACATGGTATTTTGCTTTGCTATAAGAACCTAAGTTGTTTATGTCTAACCACTCTTGAGGTTTTACATTTGTTTATGTTATTGTGCTTACCTTTCAATGACTCTAAACCTGTCAGCTGGAGGGGGAAGGGGGAATGGTCTCTTAAATCCTACTACATGTGAAAATCCATGTGACCAGAGATCCAATCTATCTTTGGGAGTTAGTACGTTGCCTTTAAACAGAAGAATCTCCAATTATTCAATTCTTAGATCATTTTAGAGATTAAACTCGTAATCAGAAAAACGAGAAGATGACAAACCTTTCTTTTCCAATTGCTGCTAATATTTTTCTTTTGTGTGTGTGTGTGTGTGTTTTTAAATCTCTGTATACAAACGTACCTATTCTTTCTTTCTATTCACTAACATCAAATGCATTCCCTGACATGTTTATTTGATTGAATATGTGTATATTTGCGTAGCAATCTCCCCTCTCGACATGTATGGTTGTGCGACTGTTGTCTACTTTTATTATTTGTATTTTGTCTTTTATGTTCCCCCTTTTTTTCCCCCCTTGAATTNCTGACTCTGTAAACCACTTAGAGAGGGCTGAAAGGCCTATGAAGCGGTATATAAGTCGAACTGCTATTGCTATTGCTCTGAAAGCGAAATCATTTTTTAGTAAGATGTGAAAAACTGTGATTCAGATTTAACGGTAGATTCTCAGTAATTAAATTTAATGTATATGCTCTGAGGTGAATATGGATAGTAAAAGTACTATGGAATATGGTTCTGCATTGATTCTAGAGTTCCTTGTGAACTTAAAATGTGACAGTTCAGAATTTGGACCGTATGGGATATACAAGCGCACACATGAAGGATTTATGTCGTTATTCCTAGTGATTTGTGAGGTAACCTTTTTAGTTAAATTGTTTTAAATATGTAAATATTTTTATTTTACATATTTATATAATGCATAATTAACAAGTAAATTATTATAACAAATAGACAGTAAAATATAGTAGAATTGGACCACAGACAAATTCTAGCAGAAAAAAATTCTGTGATGTCCAAAAATAAGAAAATTCTGTTTCGGAAGCACTTGTGTTTCAAAGGATGGTTTTGTTGTCATGTTGTTATTTTAAATAGGAAATGCCTAATCATCATATAGCGGTTCTTGTAGTTATAAATATGATTTTGCTGTAGTAGAAATGACAGGGTTTGGTTTCAAATAACTTTGCGGGTGGAGGAATTGGGAATAAAATAAACCTTCCGAATCACGTTTGCTGACAGATAAATGAATCCTCACTCATGGCAAACCTACATTCGAGAAGGTGGGAGGTAGAGTTATAAGGAAAATTTTATGAATTTGGTACCACTTTTCTTCACTGCATGAGAATTGTGAACACCTGAAGAAGAATATTTGATAATGTAATTTATACGATTAATATAGGTAATATTTTATTTCTGTTCTTTGAATGGTGAAGCTTATTGCTGGTCTGGAACACTTTACCTTCGTGACCCGACAAATGCGCAAATGTCAAAAGCGCGGCGCTAAAACCGCGATGTCAAAAGCGCGCCAACAACAACGCGCCGACAAAAGCGCGCCGACAGAAGCGCGATTTAAGCTAAGGTAAGGGTTAGGGTTAGGGTTTGGTTTAGGGTTAGGGTTACAGCGTGCTTCTGTTGGCGCGCTGTTGTCGGCACGCTTCAGCGCTCATTCGTCGGCGTGGTTTTATCACCGCGGTTTAGTCAGGCGCGGTTTTGTCGTTCGCGCATTTGTGGTGGAACCCTTTACCTTACATCAATTTACATAAAACACTAATTAATGGAGGAAGAAACCCAGATTTGACCCTTGCACTTAAAATTAGCAATTCAAAGTAAATACCAAATTGAGGCAGGATGTTAACGAGATCATTGGGGCCACAGAGTACACTGCTGATGACACCTTAAACGCTGCCAAATTTGCATCCCGATCCTTAGCTTCTAATGTCACCACTTTTATGGCTCAGACATTGGAACGCGGATATGCGCTCCAAGTGAAAGCTCACTTCTGCCCCCTTCAAGGGCAGCAAGTTGTTTGGGGAGGCNAGAAGGGGGGGACAGAACAAGTTTCCATCCATTTTTTCTTGTCCTGTCATCTGGTGCTTTGGAAAATAAATTGACCGTCTCTTCTTTGTGACAGCCTCTCAAATACTGGAATATTGCTATCATGTCCCCCCCTAATCCTGCTTTTCTCTAGACTAGCCAAACTCAAATCCTGCAACCATTCTTCATATGACTTAATCATCTTAGTTACTCTTCTTTGCACTTCTTCCAAAGTCTCAACGTCTTTTTTGTAATGTGGTGATCAACACTGGATGCAGTATTCCAGGTGTGGTCTTACTAAGGCTTTATAAAGCAGTACTAATACTTCACATGATTTTGATTGCCTACAGATATATAACATCCATGTTGTTGCAAGCACCACATCGGTCACCAAATACAATTCAAAGCACTATTTAGTCCTCCGGGATTGGGCGGCCTATAAATCTAATAAATTAAATTAAATTAAATTATTTATTACATATAAACTTTGGCACCAGAGGACTCTCTGGTTTGAGTTGAGTTGAGTTGATTCATCTTGATGAGGAATGTTGAGGATTCAGGAAACAATATTTTTATGGGGTTTTTCTCAAGTCTTACAGAAAAGGTTGCAGAGATTTTGATGGCATTATCGAAAAACAGTGAAAACTGAACTGTTCTGGAGAATGAGCTTGGTTGTTTGCTTTCAGATATTTTATTATTGATAATCACTAGTGATATTCCAGAGTTCAACCCCGAATTACATATTTTATCTTCTAATTTTTAATGTATAACGTTGCTGGAAGGAGACATAGGCAGCTCTTAATGAAGGTTTTATGTTTGTGTATTAGATATAGCAATAGCAATAGAAGTTAGACTTATATACCGCTTCATAGGGCTCTCGGCCCTCTCTAAGCGGTTTACAGAGTCAGCATATCGCCCCCACANGAATTCTGATCATAAGGGGCCCCAGTCCTACAGGAGACAGACCGTGGAGCTGATGTATTATGTATTAAGGACTAAAAAGAAATTGATTGTGTGATATTTTTTATATACAATTTAGTTTATATTGTATTTTTTTTGTGAACCATTTAGAAATTATTTTTGTATTGTGGCAAATATGTTTAATAAATAAATAAAAGCAAATAATCACACCAGGTTTTTTTTTTGTTCGCACTTTATGATTACACTTAATCTCAGACCAAAATTAATATTTCTGGATTATTGAGATCATAACTCCTAACCAGCATACTCAAATACAATCTCTATCATCCCCAGTTTATACAGATGATTTGATTCCTATTGGAAGGCAATCTGCAATCTCCAGCATATAATTGG